GTCGCAATGAATTCAGATAAAAAGGACAAATGTAATTATGAATATGCATGTCTAAATTTTGGAGCAAAATATCATATCCGTCTCTTTTATAGTGAAAATCAATTTTGTTTTCAGGAGGGACAAAGCTTCCACTGAAATATTTCAGCATGGAAAAGAAAATTTTATCAATTTCATTATAAACCAAAAGGGAGTAAAACACAGATAGAGCAATTGCAGACAATAAAAAATTATCAACTGCTCTAATTTTTGCTAAAACATTGGTGGGTTCTGCGCCTCAGCTAAATTTTCAGAGAACAAAAGTTTATAAATTTCTGACCCAATTAATGAGCAACCATCAGTCTTGTAGAAATTAAAGCATGAATGAGATGGATCAGTTAGAATAACATCATTAACAAAAGGAAAAGACAAACCAGTTCTAATAAAACAAAACAAAAAAAAAAGGCAAAATGAATCAATTCAGTTTTATGTGCATGCACAATTGCACAAAATTGGTCGCTAGATGGATAGCTACTTAGTATTCGTGTCAAATAAAAATTAAAGTTGGGCACAAATACATTCCCAGAAGCCATTATTTGAAACCACTGATTTTTTTTCAGCTGGTTATTAATGATAATTTTTCAAACCTATTCTATCTTGTTTTCGTGATAATCATGCCTAAATGCTGGATGAGTTGTTGTGGAATGAATAAATAATACGTGAATAGAGGCTAGCCACTGAAAACAAACAGCCCAACCGATTTCATTTACACCTCGAGATTTAAAACGTGGGAGTTGTCCTCCTGTCACCTCTCACATCGCATTCCTTTTCTATAATGGAAACACCCTCTCTCTCCTCATTAAACATGTAAGATGTAAACAGGTGGAATTAGAAATCAGCTGAACTTACCATCTGCAAAGCATCATTTCCAATTTCCATAAATCGATTCCAGAGTCTTCTATGTCTTGACATCAGCTCCAGTCATCCTTCTCTAAGAGTACGGTGAAGTTAGAATTAATTTGTTAAGTAGTGAAGTTTTTCTAAGACAAATAGAAGCCAATTATCCACTTTATATAGAAGCCAAGAATTTGCTTAATTTTTGTTCTTTTATTTTCTTTTTTGAGGGATGAGGGAATGAACATGGATGGGGCCATGGAGCAAGGGGTCCAACAAAACAATCAATGGAGATTCTGAGGCATAAGGGAGACCATGCCCCCCCAAGCTCCACCCTTGAATACCTCTATTATGAGCAGTTTTATGTTATTGAGTGTTGTCACCCAATTGGGCAAAGAAAAATTTTAATAAAATTAGCCCCACTTTTGAAAATGTCCAATATAATTCAAGGTTAGGTTTGAGATGCGTATAGAATCTCTCTAGCTACTTGATCCATATGAAAGCTTTCTTTCTATGCCTATAGAATCTATACACATTGCATTGCAGCCACATCAAAATGGTCGTAGTAAGAATTTAAGATATCCAACTACATTATTGTCTTAATTATCATCAGCAGGAAAATCCAGATTGAAGAAATAGAGCTTGAAATGGTTGAAATCGGTTCACCAGGCCAATGCTAAAGCACCAACATGAAGATGAAATATCTAGTATGACAATGCTAGAGGTCTATTTGAATTTTGAAAAGAATAATTAATGTTTCATAATCTCCCCGAGGCTGAATGGTTAAATTCCATTTCTGATATATTATTATTTCCACACCTGAGTTTATATGAATCTTATAGGCCATACTCAAGCTACAAAATATGATAAATATTGGGAGTTCGGAGATTGTAATTGTTTATTTGTTTCCAACACTAAGACTGTGTTTGGTTTGAAGGAAAGAGTAGGTAAAGGAAGGGAGAGGTAGGGAAACCTATAACTTTTATAAACCTTGTATAGGTTTCCCTACTCTTTGCTTCAAACCGAACTAAACATAGCCTAATAGTTGATTAGACAGGATCAAATGTTCAAATAAAAACAAGTACAACTGTTTCAATCAACCAAAACTCTCAATACTTAAATTTTGCATATCGCTACCTTAAACCTTGGCCATACTTGGTATGATCCAAGAGAATGAAATCTAAGTGACACCTTCCTGTTTTCCAGAGATTGAGATTTGAATTTGGATGCGAGGATGCCAGGAGTGCTTTTGGATTCAAAGGAACCATTTTGGTTCCCAACTCAATCTAGAAGTAATTCTGCGTCTTCTCCCAAACGCATCAAGAAACAAGGCCTATGCAATAGAACTGTTACATATATAGTTCACATTGTATTGTTAATTGAGTCAGAGCCAAGAGCCAGGCAGAATAATGTCTTTTTACTACAAACAATTTGAACTCCACTTGATCTTAGCCCAAAAGCCCATATGCTAGGCAATCCAGGCTGGGTATGGACCTCAGTCTAGGACTCGTGGAGCCATGGTAAACCCATCATATCCATAACCCCATACTCCAAAACTACCCATTTGCACCAATAGACCATGACTGTGCTAGCACCAGCAGGGTATAAGGCTGGAGATCAATTGTAAAGTTTTCAAACTGGCCCTACTCTCAAGCCTAATTAGTTTCGCTAACCATTTACTCAAACCAGACCAACACATTGATCTTCCATTTGATGACAATAGACAATCGACCTTGAATCTCAAATTTCTGGTTTTGAATAAGTCTACACTAATTAATATGCAATTTGGTATTTTTGGCAATCTTATGAAATTGCCGTGAGCTGGCTAATTGGGCATGATTCAACGACTTCAACTTGGGCCTTACTCAAGCCCAACCCTACCTTTTGCTTGGATTTGACTTAGCTTTCCAGGCTTTGGGCTATAATAGGACCAAAATAGTTGGATTTGGGTTGAGGTCTCGGGTAGTCCAAACCTGTTCAGCCCACCTGACCTTGTATGATATATCTACCGATACATTTATATATCATTGTGTATTTGTGAAATATGCAATGCAAATATTTATACACATCGCAATTAGCTCCAATGATTGCATCTAGCTGTTATATGATCAATAGATTGTGCACTGAGAAGCAGTTGGCTGGGATGAAATGAAGTGGGTACGTTGATCTAAAACCTCACCTTGCTCCATACCCATATTTTAGTGGGCTTAGGATCCAGCCATTAAAAACATAAGTTCGAGAACAAAGATCCTATATGTCGAGACTGGTTTTGATCTCATTAGGGGTGTCAATGGACTGGTATTGAGTTGGACCCCGTCCAAATCCAAATCAATTTGGATAGATTGGAAAGACCCATAAGACATATTGAATTGGATCTGTCCAGACTTAGGGCCCATTTGGTTCACTGGAATTGGGATCCGGAATCAGAATCAGAATGGATTATTCCAATTCAAACCTGTCTGGTTGAGCGGAATTGGAATCTCATTCCCATTCCTGCTGACAGCTAGAATGTCCATTCTGTCCCCCTCCCTTGGGAATGAAATCCCATTCCAGTTTATTCCAATTCCTGTCTGAACCAAGTAGATTATGGGAATAGATCATTCTGATTTCGATTTTAAAGGATTTTGGTTCCAATTCTAACTGCCAACCAAATGGACCCTCAATGGTATTGGATTGGATTGGACCTGGTCCATCTATAATGGATTTATATTGGATTGGATTGAACCAATATCTGGTCCATTGATAAAAGATAAGAATACAGGTGTCAATAAATCAGGTTTGGATTGGAACCAATCTAAATTAAAACAAATTCAACAGATTGGATGGTTCAGACTTTAAATTGGGACGGTTTAAAATGGTACAAAGTATTCATCAGATTAGATTCGACTTCGTCCATCAATAATGAACCATATTGGACTGGATCGAATTGGACCAAATCTAGTGCAATTGATACCCTAGATCCCGCCATAAATGCAATTTACTTGTAGGACCCAAACCGTAATTCTCTCCAAATGTATAAATGGAACCGTATCAATTCATTCTCCATCAAATTGAGTTCTTATACAAAATGCCAATCAGACATTTCTTATCACTTTTCATTTCCACTTTCATCATGCCATCATCATAACATAAGAAAAGACCATTCCAAAGAGTAGTGTAAGGTGCCAACCAGCTGATTGGTGAGGTTTCCTGTTGATCGTAATGGAGACTTGGGATTGAATCCTGTCTGCACCTGGGTTGGGAAGATATCAAAAAAAAAATTAATGGCCCTACCAAGAATGAGTAAGAATTCTACCCATTCTTACCCACAAAACACTACAGCTGTACATTAAAACATCTCTGGTACTTATATGCTACTCAGGAATACGAGCACTACCATGTATGTGGATGGGATTTGTCTAATTTGAATATTTTCCGTGAAAAAGCTCCTTATTCACATATCTTCAACTAGCATCTGTTTGGTCGAACTCATGCAATTAAATCGATCATTTCATTTTATAATTAATTCAAATGGATCATTTTCATCTTGGCCTGGAAAGCCCGGCCCCCACACACATATGCTATATTGTATATTCTATATATAAAAATTATAATATAACACCCGTAATATATAATTATATACATATATAATATTTTATGGTGTATAATGTATGAAATTTATTTATACATACATTACATAAAATAATTTATATATATTTAACATTTTATATATAAAAAAAGGCATAGGCCGGCTCAGGCCCGATCCATTATTCATATCATCAGTAAAGTGTGGCAGATAGAATTCAATTTCCAACAACACCTGAACGGCAAAAATTCAAGGAATTGATTTGTGTTGGGAGTGTGAGAGAGAAGTACAAAATTCGTTATGGGTAGGGAATGAACACGTAGACCGACTCGTAATTTTACAGTTGGGTGGGTGGGTCTGATAAATCGATGCTTATGAAACAGACACGACGTTCCAATCTATCAATGCTTTGCAGTTGAGAGGTTATAAGAAATCAGCAACATCAATAAAACAAGGGGGCGGGGCGTCGGAGATGAAATCAGTAAAAGCCTACTCCTCCAATTCTCCAAAGAAGATGAACGGAGGGGGTTGAATGTTCCGTTCGTTGTATCATGCTTTAAAGGAACCTAATTCTAGACAAATCAAACAAAACACTGCTACTTCACATGTATTAATTCAATCATGCCATTCAAAAATTAGCAAGTTAAAATTGTACAGGGAAATCAGAAGAGGAAAGAAAATTAAAATGAGGGTTGTATTTTTTATGTTAATTTACATCAATCAAAACTAAAATCCAGGCCCCCATATGCATGTTTCTCTGAGGAAGCTTTCCAGCTACTGGAGAGGCTCCACTGATCTGAATTTGCCACAGACGAGACCCCATTTCCGCATTTCGCCACTGTTCTCACACTCTCGATCAATGCCTCGGTGCGTGCTTCTTGCGACAGTATCTCCATTAACTGTTCCCGGCTTATAACCAACTTTACTTTCCACACTCCCGTGTTACTACACCTCGGAAACACTACCTCGCTTTCCGATCGCTTTAATATCCCTTGGTTGTCGAACGACATCCGGTAGGGAGTCACCAGAGACGACGACGAAATGCCGTTTGGCCTGATGTCGCCGTCTCTGGTGATTCGGGCTCCTCTCCCGGCGGTGAGTGGTAGAAGGTAGTATAGTTCTCCGGAGCGAAGCTCTTGGTTGTGGAGAAGTGGTTGAGAGAAGAGATCGCGGCTTCGGAAAATGCCGTGGCCGGGGAACTCATTGGTAATACATTCTACGGTGATGGGTGCACGTAGCTCCATGATCCCACCGTTGGACGTTACCACTTTGATCACCTGATCATTTACGCCTCCATTATTCCCTCCAAACACGCAGTTTCCCATCTGTTACTTGTTCTAACTCTCTAACTCGCTACCCTCCTTCTCCTTCTCCTTCTTGTCTTTCGGAATTTGTAGACGGGAACGAGAAAGACGCGTCCGTCGGTGAGAAATGATCTTCTTTGGAGGTTCTCAACCGACACAAGTGTCAAGAATCTTTTTGTTTTTTTTAACCAAACAAATGAAAATAAAAATAAATAAATAAAAGTAAAGATCGCGCTACACGATCGAAAAAGACATTGACTACGATCGATGAAGCTCTTTTTAGCTTAATCACCGTCCATATTTTCCTTTATCAGGACAGGTCCTATAGAATCAAAAGTTGTGCATTTGATCTGATTGATTTAGGTATAGGCTCTACACGCTTTAGACAAAATCGCATTTTACGCGACTAAGAGTCTAAGACTCAAGACTCAAGAGTGGGTAGGGATCGGCATGGCAAGTTGGCAACAAGCAGGATGAGGGCATGCTCGGCGACTCATGCCTGAAAAGTGAAGGAGCAATGAATATGGGCCGGGCCCAGTATCCTTTTTTGTCTGAGAAGTGAGAAACCCTATCTCTCTCTCTCTGTATGGATCGAAGTATCAACCACCAAAGCAACTAGAATTTAGAACTTAGAAGAAGAAGAAGAAAAAGGAAAAGGAAAAGCTGGTCAAAAGCAACGTACAGATGAGATGAACCTTGCAGATCCGATAAAAGAGAGATGATTCAATGAGAGTGTTCCCTTCCCATGGAGTAAGTCATAAGCATCCCATCCATCGTGTTTATCACTCATCATTACCTCTAATTCTATCCCATATTCCTATCCAATGAATGATAAACACGTAAAAAGGATATTCAATGAAAGCGCGTTTAGCCGTTTACTGGATCGTCACTCCTTGCCCTTGTTGAATGATAAACCCATTGACTTCCAAATTCCAATAGTGGATTTGATATCATTTTGATCTTAAAATCTTTTCCTTTGGCAGATGTGGGGACCCACTAAAAAGATCTCATCAACTCGTTTGATCTCCGCGTCTTCTTGTATTCCTTTCTTCTGAAGGGAGCGGCGGAGCGTACTCACGACTCACCGAGTGAGGTCGCCGAATCGCTGGTGTGGCATAATAATTGATTCGGGCACATGTCATTTTTTGATAACAGAGAGCACAACTATATAAATTTTAAAAGATAATATACCCTTACGTATGACAATTTGGGCTTCTTCACTACACAATAATCGTTGTGATTGGATTCGAATCAGGGTATGCCTGAATTCGATCCTATACGGATTTGATCCAATCCAAATATCCACTGATAAGCCTCAATTTGAACTCGAATCCTATCGGTAAATTGAATCTTTAGATCCGATTCAATCTTTTTTTTTAATTAATAAATTATTAAAAGAAAATTTGAATATATAAATTTAAAAAAAGATAGAATAAAAAATACAAGTATTTTTTTAATTATTTTCATCATATATATACATGTTTTTTATAAAAAAAATAAATAATATAACAAATTTATAAAAATACAATATAAATAATATATTTATAAATAAATAAATAAATAGCATGTTTATCCATTATATACATTTATATTTATAAATATATACCATATACCATATCAGATAGGGGGTTAACCCAAATTTGATCTTGATGTAGGGTGATTTGGCCCGACCTAGTAACAGGGGGACACGTGGACATGACCTAACTGAAAGGACGATAGTTCATTCCAACGCATCAAGTCTGCAACGGACCAAACTCGGATAACCGAACCACCTCGGGGCAAGTCCACCTCGGGACAAGTTCACTTCGGAACACGATCGCATCAAGATCACCTCGGTTCCAAGGCACTTCAGCATTCGTACTAAGTCGGATCCAAGGGGCACTAGCTCGGGTAATATTGACCGACCTCTGCATGACAACCCAGAAGATCTCGCCACCAGATTCCACGCTTTACGGGATCACGCCTCGTAACAGCTAGCCTTATCTCCCTCGACCGATTCAAGCGATAGTGATAAGCCTTATCGACTGGCAGTGTTATCTCCTGTTAATGCGGAAATGGGCCTCATTATAGCAAGAATCCAGGAACCACTCCGAAAAACCCGCGAGGACTCCAATATATAAAGATCCCAACCCTCCAGGGGCAAAGGTACGCGTAATCTCTGCTCACTAGCTCTCTTGCTTTCTAAACTACCATTAGTTCGCGAATTACTGACTTAAGCATCGGAGTGACCTCGCCGGGTAAGCACCCCCGGGTTCTCTGATTCCCCTTTTTGCAGATTAGCTAACTCCGTCGTTTACTGGAAACCAAGTCATCTCCAGCTAGGACCAGCTAGATTGCATTGCATCATTTGGCGTTGTCTGTGGGAAACACTTCAAAAAGCCTCTTTCCACTAAGCATCCTAGACTCAGTTTCCATGGCATCTTCCAGTAACGCCGAACAGAACACTGACATGAACGTCTCCGGGGGACAACTTCAGGTCCCAACCGTGTGCATTGGACAATTCACGGTGCCTCTCTCTGCAGATGGGATTCCGACACTGAACGTACCTCAAGTCATTGCACCGGTGAATGCCCCACTCCCTCTTACGGTGGGTGCAACCTTTGCTGAGCCTTCTGTCATTCCCCCGGCAGTCGGATAGCATCAACTTGACGACCTGGTACATTGCGTGCGGGCTATGCAAGCCCAAATGCAACAGTTCCAGTAGTTTCAGTTGTACCAGTAGCAAGTTTTGCATCATGTTTACCAGCAGCAGTTCCCTCCACTGCCACAGAATCAATAGTCGGTTCCACCTCGGCATCCAAAAACACAGCAGGTCAAGCCTCGCCACTAGAGCGGTCGCCCTCCTCGTCGGGGAGAGACCTCCCAGATCCAGAATCCTCTCGGGAGCCAGGTCTCGTCCCGCGGCAGGAGGGAGAGACAAGTCACTCTTCCCGCCTCGCAGCAAGTGAATAGGTTGGGAGACACTCAGGCCACCAAAGCCGCTTCACCTCGGCCTTCGCAGTTTGAAGTTCCGCTTGCAGAAAACCAATTCGGGATTCTGGCCGCGGACTCTAGACAAGGTCCCTCAGTCCACAGTAGCCACCGCCAGCAGTCCGAGCAGCTCCCTGCCAAAACAGTGCCAGAACAGCCAAAAGGAAAAGAAGAGGCGAGCTCGGGAACCGTGAAGACCACTCCTCTCCTTTCCGTGCTGTCTCCTTTATCCCCCGAGCTCCTGGCCGCCCCGATTCCCAAAGACTTCAAGGTACCTCCCCTGGACAAGTACGACGGGTCATTCGACCCGAATGACCATGTGGATTCTTTCCAATCACAGATGCATCTAGCCGGGGCTGATGAACCCTGCATGTGCGTCGCCTTCTCCACAACTTTTAAGGGAGTGGCTCGTACATGGTACAGAAACCTCGTGCCCGGGACAATTAAAAGTTGGGCGCAGTTCGTGTAGATCTTCACCTCACACTTCATCACCAGCAAGAGGTGTCTGAGGTCCCAGGAAAGCCCCCTCAGCATAGTCCAGAGGGAGGGAGAATCGATCCGGAGCTATATTAAGCGTTTCAACGACACATGCTTGCAGATCCCCGACCTAGATCCCACCGTGAGACTCACAGCTGCGAAAAGAGGCATCACCCACAAAGAGTTCAAATGGCACGTGGTTGCCAACAAGTCTAAAGATGTCATAGATTTTCTCAAGCTCGCTGACCAGTTCATCGGAACAGAAGAAGAGATGAACCAAAAAAGCGAGAATCCACCTGAAAAAAGGAAAAGAGAAGGTGAAACCTCAACCAACGGGGATAATAAGCGGAAGAAGGATGAACCAGCTAGAGGAGGGAGTAAACCGGATCAGCATTTCCGAACTCCTCCAGTTGAAATGACGAACTACACGCCTTTGAATGCGAAGCGAGGAGAAATTCTTATGGCAATCAAGGACGCCTCTTATGTGAAGTGGCCACCTCGGAAGAGAGGGGATCCGAATACTAGAAACATAAATGTATATTGTCACTTTCACAGAGACCACGGTCATAGCACTGAGAACTATAAAAACCTTCGCGATGAGATCGAAAAACTCATCCGTCGCGGATACCTCAAAAACCTTCCCGATGATCATCGGCGGGTCAATTGTCGCGGGCTGCACATCAACCACGGTGAAGACGTCGGCCCATGAATTAGAAAGAGAAGAGCAGAACCCCCCAAAGCGGCCAAGGTTAGAAGAGCCCCTATTCTTCACGGAAGATGACGCGCACAGGATCCAGTACCCCATGATGACGCGCTCGTCATAAAAATGAGAATCAATGATTTCGAAGTGAAGCGCGTCCTGGTCGATTCAGGCAGCTCGGCAAATATACTGTTCAAGGACGCGTTCGACAAGCTGCAGCTCCAAGAAAGCGACATCAGGCCCACGAACACTCCTCTGGTAGGCTTCAACGGAGAGGAAGTCAGGCCCCTGGGGCGAATTTCAGTACCTGTAGAGGTCGGTACGTGGCCTAGCATTGCGAGGTTCGACCACACTTTTCTAGTGGTCGCGACTCCCTCCCCGTACAACGCCATTATAGGTCGGCCTATCACCCACGCCCTGCGCGCAGTGGTGTCCACCTATTATTTGGCCATGAAGTTCCCTACGGACTTTGGAGTAGGGGTAACGCGAGGTGACCAGCTCGAGTCTCGCAAATGCTATGTCGCCGCCCTCAAAGGGAAAGCCAAGGTAGCAGATGACCACGAGCTAGAACGACCTATGGAGTACACCGAGGAGCGAGCTTCACCGATAGAAGAGATGGTCCCTATACCCGTTTCGACAGAAGATCCAGCCAGGACTCTCCAAAATGATGCATCGATTGAGGAACCTCTGCGTTCTCAGCTAGCAAGTTTCTTACTTGAAAATTTAAATGTGTTTGCATGGTCCGCGGCAAAGATGCCCAGCATAGATGCTAAAATAATAACTCACAAGTTGAACACTGAGCCTGCAGTTAAGCCCGTTAGACAGAAGAAACGCAACCTAGCCCCAGAGCACGGGAGAGCAGTCGACGAGGAAGTCGGGAAGCTTCTCGCAGCCGATTTCATCAGGGAGGTCCATTACCCGAGCTGGGTGGCTAATCCCGTTCTGGTAAAAAAGGCCAACGGTAAATGGCGCATGTGCGTCGACTATACCGACCTGAATCGAGCTTGCCCGAAGGACTGCTTCCCACTTCCC